TTCAATCAATTTCAATTAAGAATATGCAAAATATTATGCAAAATATTTTTTTTTTTTTTGGAAAATTGAGGGACACACAAAAATTTATTCAAATAAAAAATGAAGATTACAAAATGAACTCAAGAAGATAAAAGTTGATTACAATTAATAAAAAAAATAGATGACACTAAAAGACTGCAAAGTCTCTAGCCTTAATGTAGGTGAAACTCAAAGCCTCTAATCCAATGATAATTCTAGTATAATAAAAAGATTAGGAACCAAGTAGAGAAATTAGCCTTCTCTAAAAAAGTTTCCTTTGATAGAAAATGCCTAAAAATTAGTAAAAGATACCAATATATAAAATATAATCTAGTAAAAATGCACTATGGATATAAAAAAAAAACTGCTTTCATCCATAATGCAATTCATATTAATTTCCAACAAGACATAGTTCCTCAAAGGATGCAGAATCAAAGTACCCTCTAATAGATTTATTAACAAATAAAGATCAAAATAGGCAACATAACGATGAGCTCAAAAAACCCACCCATAAAAACTTAAGGACTCCTTCCATGCTAAGGAACTAAATCTAATTATCATTGATCCAAATCATGAAATTCACCCTCAAGATACCAAAACACCAAATAGGATTTGATAATATTCCAAAAAATAGTTGAACCTTATGCTATAATTGGATATCCTTATAGCTTAAAGAAAAATGAACATAAAGTGAAGTATCAGTATAGTTTTAGTATTAACTAAAAAGTAGTATCAATAAAGCACTAGAATTAGTACATTAATAACAAATGAAGATTTAGAAAGAAGTAAACTAAAGACCTTCATATCCAAAATAGTAGCAACTATAAATTAGCCAGGCAGTAATCTTTAATGACATGCCATAAACACCCCCAAGGCTATAATTAGATCAATATAACAAAAACCTCAAAAATACAGAAAGGTCCAAAGATAGAAGATGATACAGGAAGGTAGAAATGAGAAGTTCAATTCTGTAGAGCTCTATAATATAAGTAGGATTTGAATCTTAAATTTTCTTTTCGTATTTTTTAGTTTAACAACCTAATGAATATCATGTACCAGTGCCACCAATGACAGTTCAATTCTTGAAAAATTATGTTATTTCTTTCCTTCCAAATAAAATGAACTATATTATGAACAACATGTAAATAAACCTTATTATTAATATTTGAGTTAATATAATCGAAGAATGCAAAAAATATGCAACATATTTCCATCTAGCAAAAAGTTCCTATAAGAGATGCATCTTCTTAATAAGGCATGAAAAAAATAGCACAAAAATATGGTTACTGTGTGTCGCATTATGTCCAATACAAAGAATACAAATACTATTCACCAGCATGCCTCTATTCATGAAAATATCACTCATTTTAAGATCATAAAGCAAAATTTTCCAACCAGTGCCAACAAAACTAATAGAATGAACTTTATACAAAATTTAATTACTCCAACTAATTGAGGAAAAACCCTCATGCACAAAATTGTAAATATATTTATGAGCATAAGAGTTTAAACCCTTCCAAAGACAATTGATATTACTATCTACCGACCCTCACTATCATTGAACCACAACCACATATCAGCCAGTGGACTACAATCACGTGGCTGGAATTCATGTAGCTGCCACCATCGCGATTGTCCCACAATCATGTCATTACCACAATTAGACCTTTATTATCAGATCGCCACACCAAGTCATTGTCGACTGTCATATCTACTACTATTATTGGATTACAATTGCCGGCCCCACTATCAGTGATAACAACTTCAAATCTCTATCTCACATCCACTATTGTTGATATTCCATCATCGCAGTCGGATCACTTCACTTCCCCAATATTCTCTCCAATTCTTGTAATATTATTTTCTACCGTTCAAGGGCGTACAAAGCCTTGTAACATACTTCCAACAAGCAAAACCATTCCAATCAGGCCATGCCCCGTCAATTTTTTTCTTTGGTGTTCCCTCTATCGGCTCTTCTTTTATCTTTAAGTAACTGTGCGAGATTTTCATACAATCTCAAGGCATTAATATATCTCTATTCCCGTGAATTCTCTGACGCACTACAATCACAAATAAATCAAATTTGTACTTTGATCAACCATCTCAATTCTAGTTCAATGTCAGCACCATTTATTTTGATCAAATTTTTTAACAGTGAATTTCACCCTTCTTTATTTCAAATATTGGTGAAATAAATTAAAGTAATAACTTTCAACACACACACACACACACACACACACACATATATAGCTATCCCAGTAATTATTTGGGGAAAGAATGGAACTAAAGATCAACGCAACTGGTAGACTTTAATCCCAATCAGGACTCGTTCATCAACATTTAATAAGCAAAGAAAACAAATTTTCAGCTGTTGTTGTTGGTTGCCAAACTGCCTCACAATAACTGTTATATTTTATGAGGAGCATACTATTCTGACTTCTGAGAGATCAATGCTATCAAAATGGATATTTTAACTTTACACACCTCATGTGCAAGACTTATTTAGGGCTAACAGATAGAGTTTTATAAGGATTTACTTGAATTTTTATAGGACTTGTTCTTCCAAGTCAAATGATGCATATTTGCGCACCATCGGGCAAACAATTATTCCAATACAATTTATTGTCGGTACAAAATTAAGTTGTTAAGAGTAATGATAGACTTCACTGCTCAAATGTTTATCTTTCTCATGCACATAATTAAGGAAAAATAGTGAATTTATTATTTTTTTTATGTTTTATATTGAGTATTATGCTTGATGAGTCAATTACATTCATAGTGCTAAGAAATTCTCTGTTATTTTTCTTATTTTTCTTATTACGTTCTAACGTTAGTGTATTATCGTCTTTGGCTTCGTTTGATGCAGTTTCGTCGTTCGGTAGAGCTCTTTTGAAAGTGTGCTAGGGGAACGGAGAAAGTCATCTGCGGTCCAAAATGATGAAGAATAACGAACAGCTTTAGGAGACGTTATGACGTTATGCATGACTTGCTTCACCAAACAAAAACTTTAACAAGAATCGACATTCATTCAATGCGACACAATAGAGCTTGAGTATTGAAGCCAAGCGGCCTACGTAGTAGCTAATAGTAAACGTGTTGAAATATAAACTTGGTTTTAGTCGTTTAAATAAAGCTTAATTTCTAGAAGCTTAATCTAGAATATGTGGTAGGTATGAAATTATTGTGTAGTAGGTGTTGAATTATTGTGTGGTAGGTGTGAAATTATTTGTAACCATTGGATTGTAATTGTGGTGGCACAATCCTAGCCATTAATTTAGGAGGTGCCACTAGTATAAATAGGGGTGGAGTCTTTGAGTTTGGATTAAGCCAAGTTAAGATGATAAATAAGAGTGAAGTTTCTTCCATAAAGTTGTTTTTTTAGCCTTTATCATTTCCTAAAAGCTTCTGCATTCCAACAAAACGATCTTTTCAAATTAATAAATCAGTATTGAACTCCTCATAATTTGTGCATGCATTATTAACTATGTTTTCTTAATCCTTGTACAACATATTCATAAATTAAGGAGAAATAGTGTCTTTTATTTAAAATAATATACATGTAACGGCAGCTTATATTAATTAAGATAAATCTAAATCTCCAATGAATAATGAATATATTGTTTTGACTTAGGAAATGCATGGTTTAAAGCTCTTGTAGGAGAATGTCTTTCCTATTACATAACTACCAATTCTTAAATTCTGCAATCATGTAGCTATCATCATTGCAAGTGTTATGGTATGACTCATATATCATATAGGGATAGACACTGGATCGAAGATGAGCGGAAGAATCTGTCTAAATTGAGAAGTTACGTGGGTTGGGGTGCGGGGGCAAAGCCCCGCGGTATGGTACAGGGGTAATGCTGTAATTACATATTGTGTCTAGAGTTTACTCCTGGGGTTATAAATAGGTCTGTTAGTAACCCCATGAGGTATCCTCTATTCTGTAACCTTTTTTTTGAATATTGAAAGGAACTCGCCGCTCTGCTCCCGATGACGTAGGCATCTTTACCGAACCTCATAACGGCAGCTTATATTAATTATGATAAATCTAAATCTCCAATGAATAATGAATATACTGTTTTGAAAAATTACTGTATGGATTTACAAATATGTTGTGAAATGATTCAATGGATGAGAATGATTCAATGGATGAAAACAAGGAAAGTCCACCAAAGAGCAGCAAAGCAAACCGAGCAGTGAATACAAGCTGAGGAATTATGTTACTTCTGAAACAAATAATCTAATTTCACGTTTGAAAGATTCAATACCAAACAGAATTAAATTTAATTCGTTGCGTGTGAAAAGTTAAGCTGTAGTTCTCCAAATGATGGTGAGTGCAGAAATAATTATGAAGGGGAAAACTTACTTTTGGAGCGATTTGATCGTTAGATTGATCATCGTTAAAATTTATGGGTCACAATTGACACGTAGAGTCTCACTATTGCACTTTGGATGTATCCGTAGTCCTGACCTAATATTTTTTCGAGTCTTGCAGCGCTTCACGGGAGCTCTACGGCTGGAGGCCGATCTTGCATCTACACGTGTGATATATATTGATCATGAAAGATGAAAAACATAGAGAGCTTTGCTCGGACATATTTGAGCTATCTTATCAGAAGGTTAATACAACAACAATAAATCGTAACTGCATTGAATCTAAAATGTGCATTCTGATGATCGACATTTATATGACCAAATCATCTAAGACGACTCTCTTTAATCTTGTATGCCGCTCGCACTACACCAACCCGTTCACGAAAGTTAATAGTATTAAAATTTTATTTAAGGGCTGAATTTTGATGATCAGAATGAAGCATTAAAATATAAATATGTCTATTTCTAAAAACGCGGCCGGTTCCGTGTACATTGAAACACTTCCTATATAAAACCAACCACCCGCATCCGCCCTTCCAACACAACATAACAAATCTCATTCCATTTCATTCCTTGCTAACATCGCCATGAACCTCTCCGCGAGCATGGGGCTATACCAAAGCAGTACGAGGCCCAGGAGCCTCATATCCAAAACACTCCAACGTTGCCTCTCACTAAAGTCGCAGTCGGGCAGGTACGCCGTCTCGCCGGCCGGTTGGGTTTCAGTTCAGGTGGGAAGGGAGAAAGAGAAGTTTCTGATCCGGGCGGAGTGGATGAACCACAGTCTTTTCCGGGGACTGCTGGATGAGGCTGAGAAAGAGTACGGTTACGCCGGTTACGCTGCGAAGGGCTCGCTGGAGCTTCCCTGCAGCATCGAGGTGTTTCATTTGGTGCTGTGGGAAATGGATCAGGAAGAAGCGGATTGCGCGGCGGCGGCGACTGCGGTGATGTGTGGGTTTGGTGCGTTGCCGTTGAGAGGAGCAAGAAGGGGATATCGACTGCTCGGTCAATCGAGGGCGGTGGCCGCCTGCAGGTTATATGGTTGAGGTGTTCGGCGTTGTGTGTGGCGGCTGGACGAAGGTCATAGCTGTGATTTCAGGAGGGCAATTAATGGGGTTGCGATGCAGATTCTTCCAGTAGTATCTGCTGATTGTTTTCTTGTGAAAAATTTGATGTTCAGGGGGGAACGGAGAAGGAAAATAGAAATTTGGTTTATATGAATGAATGCTTAAAGATGGAATTTTGATTTGATGTGTAAATATTTATTTTTAAATATGTGAGAGAATTTGAGTTTATTAATAATAATTTAAATTTTATGAAATAAATATGTGGAAGAATTTTTTATTTTTATAAAAATATTTCTAATTTTGATATGGCAAGAATGTGTTTAAATTATATATATATATATATAATTCCCACCGTATGCCC